TTATCACAATCATTGAGTCAAATCTTAACTATACATTTATTGGCATCTCAACTATCTACATCATGCCACATCATCTTGTTATAAAATGTTGTACAAAATAATTGTACAAGTAGCTTTTTTCATAAATTTATCCAGTAGGTTAGATAGAATAATTAGGAATACTTTCCATCCAATTTAGTTCCTCCTCCAATTCAACTTTTTGTTTTTCTCTCTCATATTGATTCTCAAATTAAATGTGTACGAATGTTTAATTAGCAACCCAAAATTTATGTGACCCTCCAAAAACGTACGTAACACAAGATTATGCATGCAGAGCATTATGAAGTAAGTTATATTTTTTCTGTACCAANAAAAATAGGATTTGGTACTTTAAAGTTCAAAGGTGGGGCACCAAACACAATCTGACGATTAGAAAAAGGGTGATGTGATGATATAGCATTTTGTACTATGCAAAATTAAGTATAAAATTACTGTTAACTAATCTTAATTGGGACAACGTTGGTCAAAGAGTTGCCTAACAAGGGGTCACATCACAATTCACATCATGTTTTAGTTGTTTGGGCTGTTCATCTTCCACTAACTTCACCATTATTTTCAAACTATTTTTTGAGATTTGGCAGAATGTTGTTTGAAAAATGAGAAATTCTTGTCCCATTAATTTGCTTTCAAGTCTCTTGGATAAAGAAATATTGTGAGAAATGCTAAACACATTAAAATCTGCAATTTAAGCACATTATTATTATTATTTTAGCAGCGTAAAATAACAACTATTATATAATTTTTTGCAAAATGTTAACAAAGAATAATTGATGTGACAAATCCTTTTTGGTCACTGAATATGCTATTTTTCATTTTTTTTTTTTCTAAATAGAAATCCATGATATTATCTTTTTAACCACACATCCTAGCTAAATCATTGAGTTAATTGGCCCAGTAGCTGATTATGTATCCCAATGTTATGGTAATTAAGGAACCATTTGAATTACAAATTAGTGATTTTTTCATTGAGATATAAAATAGTGAAGAAGTGGTCACTTGTATGAATTTCAGATATTTCAAGAGTTTGTGGTTTTGCTGAACCAAACAATCAGCATTATCATCTGAGTGGAGTCACTGGACACATTCAGTTCAACTGAAATTTGAAAATCAATGGTCAATCAATAAAATAAGCTAAAGACAATATCGAAAATTAATCTTCAAAAATAGAGAAGACTATAGTTTTTCTTTAGCTTTTACAATTTACATTAAAAATACTATTATTGGAATATCACTTGTGATTCGTCCTACGTGGATTTGATACGGTAAATGAGCCTAGTTTATAAGTCTAGTGGACTACTCCTCTCATCACCAATTACTTTTGGGATAAAACCTCATTAAGGTGCACTTATGCTCACCCTCTTATGATGAGCTTCACTGTGTGAGACCGCACCTTGATGCCCCATTATCAAAATTTGACAATTATTATATAATATTTATCAACATGTCGATTTATGATTATCAAGAGAGCTCTACTAGCTCATCCATGTTTTACTTCATGGTATAAAATAGCTTACGTGACTAGGTGGTATTTCGATATGTTTGATATTTCACTATTACACTTTATATTTTATTTAATTAGTTTATAAGTTCTTTATATTTAAATAAAATTCGTGAATAATTTTTTTACTTTTTAGAAAGGTTTTTATTATCTCGATTTTTCGCGTTTATAAAAACAATTGAAACTTTTGTTCCAACTTACTTACCCGTTCGCTAAACACTATATCAATCAGTTTTCAATAATCAGTTATCAACTACAAGTATAAAATTAACTTATCAACTCTTAGTTTGTGATGCTCCCTAAGGACTCGTGGACACAAACGATCAACTCTCAGACGAAATAGCGATCTAATGTCCATCTCGACTATGCTCATTTTCCGCCAATAATTTACTATAGAATATTTTTTATACCACATCGAATAATTCATGATATAAGAATTTCACCATGGGCGAAGTGAATCAAAGATTTTCACATGAAGTTTAAATCTAGAGCACGTATAAATGTCTACCCCTGAAGGTAGCGACCATGTGGGGTATTAGACAGGCCTAATAATGGGCTAAGATGTGGCTAGGCCTGACGCTCCACAGTGATCTTGGCCCATAGACGGGGAGCTAATAAATTTGACAACACGCCTTATTGTGTTTTTGTTCTGAGAAGACGGTTCATCCCACATGATCAGAAGCATACATTAATTAGAATTATAAGAAACTATATTATTATTATTACTATTAGGACTATTACTACTATTACTACTACTACTTTGTTTTAGAATACAATTTTATTGTGTGTGATTGTCTAACCATTAAACAATTGACCCAGCATACTCCACGTACAAACAAGAATATTTATTTATCCTATCAATTGTTAAACATGTTCTTTATCTTATTTTTGACCCAGCATACTCCACGTACAAACAAGAATATTTATTTATCCTATCAATTGTTAAACATGTTATTTATCTTATTTTTTAAAGCATGACATTTTCTAATTAAATATGCAAATTTGTGAAGAAAAAAAAAATGTCGGTCTAATGGTTAGTCTACCTAATTGAAGACTTAGCATGTTTGTTTATGGAAATTTTTGGTTTTGTTTAGATTTTTTGGTTTGGTTTGGTTAATTTTGAAAAATGTGGTATGGTTAGGTGTTAGTGGGTATATTATAATAATATTTAAAATAAAATAGTTAAAATTGATTTGATGTAAAAGTATGAGAGAGATGATTTGAAGTGATAGTTAGTTAAAATAATGTGAGTAGATGAATAGTGAATTAAAGTTGATGTGGTGTGTATGATTGATTGATTGATATTATTTAATTATATTGATGACAGTGAGGTTGAGTTAAAAAAGTGAGTGAGTTAAAATGTTGAAATTTTTTTTGAAAAATCTTATAAACAAACATGCTTAATTTTGTCACTGAGGAAACAAGTGAAACAATAGTAGGAACTCAGAGGGCTTGTTTGCTTAGTAGGAACTGTCTTGTTTGACTATTAACTGATAGTGGTAAGTTGATTCTATTTTGTATTACTTGATTTGACCAGCAAATTGTATTATACATTTGTGCATAACTGTTTGTTAAATAGCGTATTGTCTAGCTATTTTGAAAATTTTATATTGACGTGTTATTTTACAAACCATCTCTTCTCAAGACACTCATATATTAAACTTTTTCAAAATTAGCATTTTGAGCTAAAAAAAAACTAATCAAATAAGCTATTTACCAAACAAGTTAATTAGCAGATTTTGACATATCAAACCTCTAAATGAGATTCAATCCACTAATTTTATACCAATCCGTGAACATCTAAATAATGGCCATAATCATTAGATGTGTTTGCTTTTGCTCCACTAACTCTCATTTTGCTGTTTTTGGGTTCATGTTGAGGTTTTTAACTTCGCTTATTATGAAGATATTCATGGTATCCAAAGCTCTTATAATGTTTACATTATTGAGTCCAACAAACAAAATATAGTATTATGGTGCTCCACTTTAAAAGTAATTCATATCGTCTTGTCACCTTCAGCCAATGTCGAACAACCAGTAAACTAGATCAATATAAGACACTAAAATGAAAAATAGACAATGATTCACAAACCAACACTGGCTTTTGTGTCTCTAGACACTGTATAGTTGTATCCAATATGTCTACTTGGAACGTTAATCGTAATTTTGAAAGTCGAACATCATGGGACCTCAGTAGAATCAACAAGAATGTATCAGAACTTGAAAGTCCTAACCTTCAAATGTGCTTTATTACCATGACAAAAGCTCATGACCTTCGCAGCACAGGAAATCAGAAATAGTAGCAACACTAAAGCTCCAATTGTGTTTAGGAACTGGATCAACAGTTAGGGACACTTTTCAGTTAATCGATGTTTGAATGGAATACGGAAATTGGGGCATAGGATAGCAAAAATGAGGGGAAGTTATCCCCTCATCCGTGAACAAAATGTATCAGTTGAATGACATATATCTCAACAGTAACAAACAAATTGTACACAGCCATTCTACTTGCCACTATCTCACAGGCACGAATGTCTCTATTCATGGATACTGAAGAACGCAATCGATAAAAAAAGTTTTTAAAAAAAAAAAGCCAAATTGTTGAAGCAATATATCAAGGAGTCGACAGGGACATCTTTAATACAAAGCATACACCGGCTGATATGGCTCAAGCAACCATTTCATTTCTGACAAAAGAAAAATCTTACATGCAAAAATTTGGGAACTGCTAACAAATTTTCAAAGTTGCAACTTGACATGATATCATTTGTTGTTCTAATATGAGACCAAATATCCTTTCTGTGTTAAAGATACTGAGGGTGGCTTTGAATCAACCATAATTGCACATCATGTTGTTCTTAATGAGGTCAATAATTAAACTATGCATCTAATACTTATGTTGCGGTGAATCCTCATCTGTACAAGGGACAATTGTAACACTCTTGTAAAGTAAACCTTAAATTATGCTCAAATTGTAGTGGAAAAGAAAAAACCACAAAATAACCACTATTATTAGAACATTGTTTATGAACCCTATGTCTGGATTGAATTCGTCTAATGATTCTTTTAGATTATCAACCAATTACACATACCCTATTCGCATAATGCTTCACAAACAAGAAAGACAATTGGCACATTTCTTCCACAAAAAGGAACAAATAAAGTAACAAACAGCAAACCTTACGAAACATTAGCCGCTTATAACAAAATTAATCCATCAAATTCAACCAACTGTCCTAATGATATAGACCCAACTGCAAATTCTACTCTGAAGACAAAAGTAGCAAATGAACACAAAATTCACCAAAAATAGCATACAGGAGACAACAAAAGCTTAAAACAATTATCCTGTCATATCAAAATTTGTTATCATTCAACACCAGATTCTCCAATACCTCATCACATTCAAATAATACTCCACAAAATCTATAGCATAAAACAGGGTGAAAACACACAAAAGAATTCAAAACCTCTCTGCAAGGCGTGCACTCACCGCTCTCAGCTTCGAGTAAACTTTCGCAGCAGGTGAGCCCAAGATCAAGCTACAGAGCGAGTCCCTCGCGACCTTAATATTCGCAAACGACCCCAGCATATGGATCTTCGTGTCCGCAATCACAATCCTTGTCCTGGTGGCGTTCTCGATTGCGAATTTCGTCTTTCCCCCTTTTCCACTCAACCTCCCGATTGCCCGAGATAAATGCTCTCCTCTCAGAGTCTTAACGTCCTTGATCTCAAAGGACTCCACGTACAGCTCGTCCATCCTGAGAAGGGCCACGGCGTCAATCACGTCGAACCCTAGCATGAAGGCGTGGACAAAGTCAGCGCATTTCTGAAGGTTGCTGACGTCGGGGGTGTCGAGCTGGGTTTTCAGCTCGACCCGGCGGGCCTTGAGGTTCATGCGGATGTCGATCTTCATCTCCTCGTAGATCGGGTTGTAAATCTCGAGCCAGGCTTTCTTGAGCGGGGTGTAGCGGTGGGGCGGGACGGGGACCTTGCGGAACTGGATCTGGCCGTCGGAGATCTCGTGCGCCTTCAGGGGCCTGAAATTGGGTTTCTGGGCGAAGAGGACGGCCGGCTGGCGAGGCGGAGCTGTGGCGGCCTCGACGTCCATGGCGGCGCTGTTGGAGGAGGGATTTTCCATTTGTTTCTTGGTTGTGTGTGCAGCAGCCTTTCTGATATTTTTGTTGTTCTCTGCACAAATGATATTATAAAACCCTACCTGAGAAATTTGATTGTGGAGCCTAGGGTTTTTATTTTCAAGATGATAGTGTGGGTTAAGGAAGCAGAATTTATTGGGCTTATGCTGGAGGTTTGGCCCAGCATTATTTTCTTAGAAGTAATTGGAGCAGATGTTTTCGTAGCCCAAGTCCTGTGATTTAAACCAACCAATTTCAGTGCTAAGGAAATGGATAGCAGTAGGACAATTACTTGAATTGAACTCATGGAATAAATATATATATACTCTCTTACACATATACTATGACTCTTCAAAAATAATTGTAAATACATTAATCTCGATTTTTTTTTAATTATACCAAAATCCTAAATTTTATTTGCAAATATAACAACATTAATATACCAACATTTGGTCGTTCCTTCAATTCAATAATAACGAAAGAGAATTCCTCCATCGATTCCACCAGATCCTCCATCGCCCCTCCTTCGCCCAGCCCTACCCTAAGCTCCGCCATCTTGAACAGAGCATCCTCCCTCTCGTCATCCCTTAAGGATCTCGCCGCAGGCGGGGACAGTGTGGCGTCGAGCGAGCCGAGGGCGGATGTCCTGAGGTCTGAGACCCTGCAGATCGAGCTTTAAGGACATGGGGATGTGTGAAGCGACGTTGTTGGGGTCCAACCCGATAGCCAGATTGGCTTAGGCCTTGTTGACGGAGAAAACATCGAAAGTGGAGGATCAGACTTGGGAGATTTGTAGGGTTTCAAACGACTTTTTAGGGAGACGCCATCGAGCGAGTCGAGGATAGAGGTCTTGAAACCCTGCAATTCGAACGATGCCGAGTGAGTCGAGGACAAAGGTCTTGAAACCCTGCAGATCGAATGGTGTCAAGCGAGTCGAGGACGGAGGTCTTGAAACCTTGTTGATCGAGCGCGAGGCCCTGAAGGTGTGCGAAGCAACGTCGTTCGGTCGAGTGCGATAGCCCAATCGGCTTCAGCCTCAATTCGACCGGGTGAGGGAGACGACGTGGGAAGTAGAGGATCTGACTTGGGAGATTTCTGTTGTTTTAGACGATTTTCTAGGGAGACGACATCAAACGAGTTGAGGGCGGAGGTCTTGAAACCCTGCAGATCAGCACGAGGCCCTAAGAGTGTGCAAAGAGGCGTCGTTCGGGTACAACGCGATAGCTAAATCGACTTCGACCTCGGCTCGACCGGCTAGGGAAACGACGTAGAAAGTGGAGGATCTGACTTTGGGGGATTTCTAAGATTTCGAACGATTTTCTTGGGAGATGGCATTGAGTGAGTCGAGGACGGGGGTCTTGAAACCCTACAAAATGAGCACGATCCCCTGAGGATTTGCGAAGCAGCGTCGTTCGGGTCGAGGACAATAGCCCGATCTGCTTTGATCTTGGCTCGGCCGGCGAGGGAGACGACGTCGAAAGTGGAGGATCTGAATTGGGAGATTCCTAGGGTTTTAGAAGATTTCTAGGGAGACGACGACAAGTGAGCTGAGGCAGAGGTCTTGAAACCCTACAGATCGAGCGCGAGGCCCTAAGGATGTGCGAAGCGGCGTTGTTGGGGTTGAGCGGGATAGCTCAATCGGCTTCGGCCTCGGCCTCGGTTCGGCCAACAAGGGAGACGACGTCAAATGTGGAGGATCTGGCTTGGGAGGTTTCTAGGGTTCAGACGATCGTGAATTTGGGGGTTTTTTTGAGAAGTTGAGTGTGAATATTTTTTGAGAATTTTTTAATTTCAATGTTTATTTGATGATTATTAATAGTTTATGTTTGGTATATGAATAATTTTTTAAACATGTAATGAGATTTGATAATATAAACTTGTTTTAAATTACAAATAAACTAAACATAAACTTATAGTTAGTGAATTTACAGTAAAAGTATGTCATTTCTATATATATACATATATATGTGTGTATGTATGTGTGTGCGTGTGTGTATTTCCAATAAGAATGATTATAAGTGAAAAAAATAAAAATGCATTATAGTCAGATCTGACAATGCAACGGCAAAAAATAAAAATAAAAATAAAGATTATACAAAATAAAGGGAATATTAGTTATCATCCCTCACATTTTCCTAGCATGTGGGCCTCTCTCTCTCTCAATAGTTGAGTAAATACTTTATACTATATGTTTTTGAGTATGTGTGGCCGACTTGTGCAGTATATATGTCATTTTGGTTATGTTCCTAAATGACTAACTTGCACACAATATTCTTTTCTCTTCATCAAGAATGACAATAAAAGGAAATTAACACAAAACCCATAAGGAGATGTAGTTGAGGAAGCTCGTGATTGTGATTTGAAACGAGTATCAGTACTCGAATTATCCATAAATTGATCTTAGGTATTTGGCACCTAAAAACTCAATTTCAATAAAGTTTGGCAATCCATTAATATTCGATAATCTACCGCAATGCTAAAATTTATTTATGATTTAGGATGATAATTAAATTGATATCACGTGGATGTAAATTTCTATATATCGAAAGCTTATGTAGTCATATGTTATCCTCGAAAAGCTTACGTACACATTTGCACGGGCAGGGTCATAATTCGGGGCGATTATAATCCTCCAATGTGAATATCACATCTATATATATATAATTATTAGGTAATAGAATTTAATAAAACCTATTTAATTTTACTTATGTGGCAATTTAATAATTTTCCCTCAAAAAATCGTTACATTTTGATGTATTTAATCTTTCATTTAATCATTAAATAATTAATACTCATCACTTCAAAATTACAAAAATCATTTTAAACTTTTGATTAATGACAGTTGACCATATAATGTGTTGACCGTATAATGTGATTAGATGTTATTATTGTTGTTACATTTAATTTATTTTTTTTTAAAATAAAAAATATATTTGAAATTCCTAAATAAATAATAAATAATTCACAAATAAAAGACGTACCAAAATATACATTACATCCAATCAGATAAACGCAATTTAAAAAAAAAAAATATTCCAACTCTTTTAATTGTAAATATGGTCTGCAAAAAAGTGAAAGTAAAATAATTAATCTATACTTATATAAAAAGCCATCTTATTTACTAGAAATAGTAGGTAGAAAAGTCAAAGGTAATTAATGCTTACTGGAAATAGAATGATATTAATTACAAATTTGTTTTGGTATTTATAGGCTTGACATTAAAGATTTGTTATGGGATAAAAATCAGAACAGATTTTTTTACCTTTGCTGGAAAAGTCAAAGGTAAGTATAGATTTGTTTTATCCCATAACATCGGTTTAGTTAAGAAAATCCCATCAAATCAGTTTTATATGTCAAGCCTATGATAAAAGATTTAATGGGTCAAAATTAAATCCTTATTTTACGTCACCCATAAATAAAGTAGATGTCAAGCCTAAATTGAAAGGTTTAATTGTCTATATAGCCATTGATTTAAGTAAACACATCTAATGTTTAAAGTTTGTGTAGATTGAAAATTCCTTCTTATCTTTTTACAAAAAATCTTATTATTATTGTATGAAAAATCAAACTCATAATGTTGTGTACAAGGAGGTCTTTAATAATATATGATTGTTTGTTTGTCGAATACTATCTTATTGTACAATTTTCCTACGTATTATAAAACTTTTATTGAATATTGCATCTTATAATATAGTATTCCTCAAATAAATATATCCCGTGTCTCGCACGGGTCACGTACTATATATATCCCGTACATTTTTCTGTATTCATGCATATAATTATAAGTCTGGATAAATAACCTTAAAATTGTGCACCCCGTGCCTCGCACGAGCTCTGTACTAGTCATTATATGTACAGATTTTCACAATAATTTATTTATATTTGTACAAATGCACCGGTCGAATACTAGTGTAAATTGCAAGCACAATCGTGAAACTTGAAGAGGTTGCTCAACCGTCAAACAGCTTTTGTGATGGACTCATGAAATTCATGCAATTGTTGGTCGCTATCGATATCACATTCATCACGCCACATTTGGTTCCTTTTTCTTATTTCCTCACCCACCCGAAAACATTTCTCTCGCTTAATTTTTAAAATTATTATACATTTTATAGGCGAAAACAAAGAATAATAAAAGAATCTTGTACTGAATTTGTATTTATATGTAATTAAAGAACAAAACAAAAAAGTCCATACCTACTAGAAAAGGAGAAAAAGAATTGGAAAAATTAAAAGGAACTCAAAAGGTAACATACATGAGATTTCTGACATATATTATAATATAGTATTCGATACTGTACACAGTGACAGATCTAAGAATTTTATTCAGGGGACTCANAAAAAAAAAAATCAACTGAAAATAAATAAATCAGTACAAGTGTCGACTAAATAAACATAAGAAATATATGTGAATATTAAAAAAAATAACTTACATTAACATTGAGAGGTCACAACATTTCTCTTCTATTTTTCATGTTTTGAAATTGTTGCATGATAACCTCATTGCTAACGTTATGAAATATATCTTTCTCGATGTATGCCACTAAACAATCATTCAAAAGCTCATCGCTCATGCGGTTACGTAGTGTACTTTGATGATTTTTATTGCCGAAAAAGCTTTTTCCACTGTAGCAGTGACAACCGATAAACTCAACAAGTAAACCAATGAAAAACATCATATTTTCATCTAGACACTATCTTTTGAGCAAGATCTCCAATATTGGCTACATTCGAGAAGTTTTCATCCAAGCGCATATTAAAAATAAAATTCTCGAATCTCAAGAATTTTTTTTATCGGTTTCTCAAATCTCAAGGTTTTTTTTTTTCGGCATACTGTTCCAACTTTCATCCGATTTTACCTAGGTATTTTTTTTTAATTTTTTTATATTATTGNGGCTACAGCTCCGCCCCTGACTGTATACATACACAAATATAAATAAAATATTATAAGTTATATGTATCATATAATATTAAATCTATAAGTTATATAATGGTAGTATATTATAAAAGTTTGAACATTAGTAAAAATAAACAGTACATAACAAGTTAACTTGATATGTATCACTTTATTGATTGAATATAATGTAATTTTTATAATTCTAAGAGATCATGACCAATTAATTATCGCTTAAAAATTATTAGATTTTTCTTTTATAACAATCGTTTATGCAATTTTAAGTAGTTTAAATATATCAATAAAATCAATTAGTTTACTTAAAAAACTCGCTTAATGAGATAAAAAAGAAGATAATATTGATCTTAGAATAAATAAATTGAAAAAAAGTTTTACAATATAAATTTTTTATGCATTTATAGGTCTTTCATATACCATAATATGATAGAGTAGTTTAAAATATATTATTATTACTCAATTCTTATAAAATATGACAGTTTCTTGTTAAAATATAACGGTCTGGATTAAATTCTTTGCCCCTCTTTATACATATATATATATATATATATAAGTATATTATTATATGAAATATAATTAATATTAATATCAAATGTATTTTTTTTGGTGTTCTGAGTTCTAACACAGATAATTTAATTAAAATATACTTTGGAAAACGGTATTGTTTTAGAAAGTAGACTAAACTCAAATTTCAAACAAAAATAGCCAGTAGGTTGATCCGTTACTTTTTTTTTAGTAAAAAATTATACTAAAAATGTTATATTTTTATTTAGGTTGTTTTTAAAATTATGACATTTCAGTTTAAACTTAATTAAAAAAAACAAGATTGGGTTGCACACTGAAGCTGCTCTATGCTAGCTCCAATATCATAAAGTTCTAATATAATTCTCATAGTATGCTCCAATATCATAAAGTTCTAATATAATTCTCATAGTATGCAAAATAAAGCTCCCTCCAATATAATTTTCATATAAAACTTTATTATCTCGCAGTTATATTACATACAATTTTTGGCCCTCAAATATACAATTTAACATAAATGAGATATTAGATCATAATTCAAACAATAATGAGAATATCTCTCCAACCTGATCTTCTCAGATTTTCGCAATTTCCTAAAATAAAAATAATGATGTTGTTAGGCAATTCTAAGCATGATCTAATCATATACATTTCATACTAAAACACCCCATTCGAAAAAAAAATATTATATTCATAGTATGACAAAACATTTTATAAAAACATATGACGAGTCGATATATGTAATGTTTAGACCACCTAATACCAACACTTAAGCCAAAACTATAATTAAGGATGATAAGTTTAGATAAATCCTTGAAGAAATGACACAAATTTCTATTGTTCTTCTTTTTCAACCTTGTGTACTCTAGAATTAACCCCTACTAGAATTTGTGCAGCCCTACTATCAATGTAGTACAATTAATTCTGAAACATGCCATGAAGATGGGTTTCAAGAAGCATGGCAAGAAGAGAAGTGGCCCACTGCCCAAGGCCACCCACAACACACAAATGCTTAAAACATGTCATTTTTGCAAACACCAAAGTACTAAAACCCTTTACCCACATTCTTACTCCATTTTCTCTTTTAAATACATTCACACTCTTTTGCATTCAATTTCAAGGCCACCATATTTATTATTTTTCAGACACCAACAATCTCATGGTAGTAATTAAACCTCAATTAGTCACTCAGAGAGATGGAGCTTAAAATAACAAAGGATTTTTTTTTATTTTTTTTTTTATTTTTTTTTTTATTTTTTGGTGAGGGTGAGGACCATTTATGGGGCTTTTTCATAGGGTAAATAAAAGGCATTGTATATGTAGACAAAGGGCCTTTCATCAGCTGCTACTGCTGGTAAAATATTGTCAGTTGCTTGATCAAAAGTCTCGATAAAGACTAAATTTTACCTGATAGAGTGAGACAATGGGACAGTGAGCAAGGAGGAGAGTTTCTCAACACTGACATAACATCAGACAAATCAAAGATATGCCATTAAATTCATATTTAATAAATGGTCCAATGACAAATAAAAGAATAAGGACCCATCTTCAATTACAAGAGACAGTAACAACTCCACACTAATTAATATCTTGTCCCAAATTTCGTTCAATGTTGTGTACCAAAATTGCTAGGTTATTTATGAAACTTTATGCTGGTAATGTCAATGTAATCCGGTTAAAAATGCAACATTGTTAATTATGTAGTTCTTCTTTAATTATAAGTAATAATTAGACAAGTCATACTCATTAAAATTTCAGTTATTTGTGGCTAACATACGGTAACCAATTTTTTTTTTTTTTTTTTC